GTGTTTGAGAGACGATCGTCCAGTGCAGATTTGTGCGTAAACTGAATTGACTTAAACTATGTCGGTGATATGGATAGACAAAGAACTACGACGAACTATTTATTCACATTGGCATGAGGTCGAGTCAGTTAGAGGTCATTTCTTCAATCTATTGTTGTTTTGTCTACTACGAAGGCCGAGTACATTACGATCACAGAGGTAATGAAATAATATGAATGAAGGCTATTAAATGACTTGGGAGTTGATCAAGAGTTTCTAACGGTGTTCTGTGATAGTCACAATACAATATTCTTGGTTAGAAATTTAGTTCATTATGCTTGTTCCAAGCACATTGATGTGATGTACCACTTTGTTCGGGGCTTGATTGAAAACGACAATGTTCCATTGAAAAAAATAGATACAAAGGACAATCCAACGGCATGCTCACGAAGGTACTATTAGTCCAAAAGTTCACCTATTGCAGGAATTTTGTGAACTTTTGAGCTCAAGATTGATTACCCAGTTGGGCATTTTGAAGAATTATGCGAGCCTTAATCCATTCGGGAGGGGGATACGTAAGCAACCATCCAGGTGCATCTGATTTGGAGTTGAAGATCAGTCGATCATCTCTCACTTATATGAAGGTAAGAGATGAGCTGGAGATTATTGTAATGACTTTTATTTAATTTGAGTTGTTTCTTTTTTTGATTTTTTTTATATGCTATAAATCTCGTCTATAAAAAAAGACTTGGGGCTAATAAAAGAAGTATGGGTATAAAAAAGTGTTGATCTGTAACTCTAAGCCGTCTTTTATTTCTTTCCATCTGATGCTAGTGGAATCTCCCTCCCCAGACATAGACGTATTAATTTAACATCGAACCACGTAAATCTTTGTATTTGATTGTTGTTATGTGAATTTCTATGCTTAAGCATTATTTTCGCATAACATGCATTACCTAATTTCCAATTAATTTCTGGTTGATCTGCCCAATTAGCCACCAAAAAGCACTCGAACTGTAATTAATCATAAATAATTTAAAAATTAAAATAAACAATATGAAATCTATAATTTAAAATTTTAATAATATTTTTAGACTTTTAACTTAAAAGCACAGAAGAGCATTCTCTGTTCCATATACATTAAGGAAAAATAAAATAATTGAGACAAAGAATTATATTGTTTATATATATATATAAATTTCATTGGTCTTAAGTAGAAAAAAATAATAAACCACAAATTATTTACCGGATATATTTTTATTGTTACCGTTGGCTGTAGCAATCAGAATTGGTCTGTCAAACAATCTGACAATTTTGGTGTTTCAATTGCAGCTTTTCTCCCCCCAGATGTGCTCACCACCTTAATCTTGAACACGGCCTGCATAAACAAAGTATTCTTACTCTTAATTATTTTTAAAAATAATTGTTATGGCCATCTTGATTTATTTTGAATCAAAATATATTTTTAGGAAATCAAATTGTACAAGAAAATGTGTGAGATCGGAATATCCAAAATAAGAAAACTAATAAAATGATGACAAGTTGACTGACCAATCATAAATCCACCTAAGAGCTAGTCAACTCAAGAGAACCAACTCGGATGATTGATCCGCTCAGGAGCGGATCAAGTGAAAACTGGCCGACCCTCAAAAGCCGAGTGCCAGACTCGACCAATGGTTGACTAAAGGAGATGCCAATAAAATATGACAGGCGCATTTATCATCTCACAATTATTTTAATTCTCTATAAATAGAGGATGGGTTGGTGGCTATAATTTAAGACCATAGTATTTAATTCCTCTCTCTCTCTCTCTCTCTCTCTCTCTCTCTCTCTCTCTCTCTCTCTCTTCATTCTCAGAGTCCAACACAAACATATTTTATTGCAGATCAAAACTTAAATTAATCAAAACTAAAAACAAAACTAAAAACAAAATGACAAAAATTATCCTAAACGGTAAACAAAAAAATTTAAGGAAAAAACATACCTTCTTATCAGAACCAAATTGAATTGAGAAAGATGAGCGCAAGCGAGTGGGGAAATTTGGTGGAACTTTGTATCTTCTTCCTTCAGTGCTGCAGTTATAAAAAATTAACAACTTCTCCAAATTTGTATAATGGAAATGAAAATGAAAATGGCTCTGTTTCTTACTCATTGATCCAGGTGCCATGCTGCCTCTGCAAGTTAGTCAAGTAAAAGATGTTATCTTTGCATGTAATACGTGCGTGGGATTTATGCACCTATAAAACAAAAGTTTTTTTAAGGTCAATCACATAATAAATAGTCCCTGAAAAGATCAGAAGTGTAATAAAGAAAATTGCATAAAGAACTTACACAAAACTTTTTATTACATCACCTGAGAAAAAGGTAAATGAATTGATGTTCCCTCCGAGTCATGATGCAAAACACTCCTGCAAAAATCAGTAATTTGCAACACTGAAAACTTCTTCCATGAAGATGAACCAGAAGATAAAATGGGAAAGCAAATTACCCAATGGTATAAAATCTCTTGTCATCTCTGACCAACCGAATAGGCTGTAAATCTTCATTATTTACAGGAAATAGATACCACCTATATAAAAAAAAAGCAACATTTTTATTTTAACAAAGTGAGAAAAAAATAGATAATAAGTTGAAAAAGAATATTTTTTATTATTTGTAAAGGAAAACATACTCTCCACCAAGAGCTCGTTCTAGGGCATCATCATCTTCAAACCACTTCTGTAATTGGTCGCTTGCCTTAATGATGCAGTAGAACTCGGGATTAGGGGTTTTTAATGCAATTAACATTATTGGTTAATATGATTTCATGCAGAAGGAAATTACAGATTCAATGATCACTAACATGAGGGAGTTTCAACTACAGATTTGATAGCAAATGAAAGAATTAATTTCCATAGTACTCTTAGATCAGAATGTCAATTCTTCAGGCATTTACATACATAACACTTAATTCCTATGTATTTACATATCAAGCACTGAAACTTTACTTTTTTACATTTATACCACCCAAATCTTTCATATACATAAAAACTACAACCATTTTAACCATCTTTTCATGCATAGGTAAGGTGATAAGCATGTAAAAATCGAAATTTAGGAGTTAGATATGTAAATACATGGAAATTGAGTGGTATGCATGGAAATCTTCCCAATTGTTTTCATGTTAAACAGACTGATGTACACATATCACACACACACACACACAAACACACATATAAAAAATTTTAATATGATATATTCTTGTTTATAATACTTCTTATGCATTCCCTCATGATGAAATCATCCTTAAATGGACCTGTCTAACCTTATAACTTACAAATTAACTGCTAAAATTTATACATGGAAACTTGTTATGGTAAAAATGCAATTAGCGCGTTTACTGAAAGTTATAAGTGTTTTGAATCAAAGAAAGTAACCCAGTTTCTTAACAATGATTTTTATCTCTGAATTATCAGCAAGTACCTTGTCGGACAGGCGACAGTTCGGTGATCTTCCTTCAAGCTTTGAGCTGTAGAAGAAGGTAAATTTTATGAATTCTATGTTCCGCTGAGGTATGATTGTCAATTTCTAGTTATAATAAAATCAAATTTATAGAAAAGACTATGACACACCGGAATATACGAAACCACCATAATATCTAATATTAATATTATTTTTATATTATATCAAATCCTAAAATAATCCTCTGTATTGCTAGTTTAATCTCAGAGTATCACATTTCTCTAATTGATACAAATTTCATCTCATTTTAATCTCTCAACTCTATAAAATTAATCTAAATTAAGTCCTTGAGGGAAAATATTGGGTGAATTTTGTATAGTTGAAAGACTAAATAGAATAAATATAATACTATGGGACTAGATTAGTCACAAGCATATAGTTGATGGACTAGTATGGAGTTTAATCCCTTTATCTTTTACTCAACATAAGAGAAGCATATGAGACATGCAATGCTCTATGGCGATGAATGTTCGCCTTTAAAAGAGAAGCGTAATACTAAGTTAAGTGTTGTTGAGATGTTGTTGAGATGAGAATGAGAGAATGATTAGGTGGATGAGTAGCTTTACACTTTGAGACAAACTGTGAAATGAATATATCCGTGATATGGTTAGTGTAGCTCCAGTGATTGACAAAATTAGAGTCCTCTTGGATGGTTCGGTCACATTAAAAGTCGACCATCTGATAATCCGATTAGGAGAGTAGATGTTTTAGAATCGACTTATGTTAAGAAAGAAAGAGGTAAACCTAGAAAGACTTGGGCTTATTGTATAAAAATTTATCTTAATTTACTAGAACTAAATGATAATATGACTCTAAATAGGACGCAATGGAGAAGAAGGATTCATGTAGCCGACCCCACATAGTTGGATTAAGGCTTTGTTGTTGTTGTATAAGAGAAGCATATGAGAGTATACATGAGGACCTTTTATGATAATAAGAGTTGTTTCATTAGGAATATTATTGAATTTCAAGAGTGTTGCTAATTGGATGCTAATTCACACAATATAAAAGTAATGTAGGCATAAAATAATCTTATGAGACAAATCTATGACTGTCATAGAATATAACATGGAGGGAGTGCACTAGTAGACTAGGCCTCTTTAAGCGTATGCCACAACAGGATCTAGAAAGGGGATAAGCAACCATAAACCTATAGTAAAGAGAGGTGTTTTCTGCAACTTAATGTTATGACATCCAAGCCATAAAAATATAAAATTAGTCCCCATACTTCATTAATATGAGCTGCAATAGTCCTAAGCTGAGGTTTGGGGACTAATTTGTCACATTTATAGACTCTGAACCAAAATGACTCCCTGCAAAGAGTCAAGCAATCATTTTGGCATTTTCCTCCATAAAAAAATAAAAAAATAAAAAAATAAAAAAATTGCATATGACAAACCTGTTGCCACCTAGGACCCAGCTCAACATTAAAGGCATCACATAGTTGATGACAAGTCTGCCACCAATTCTCCCAGGATGTGGTATTTTAAACTTTGTCAAAAACTGTCATGGTATCATATCATTCATCCAAAGAACTAGTTAAGAGATTTTGAAATGTAGCCCAAAGCATGATTATAAGTTAAGGTGATGATAAATCGACATCATACCGAAAAGGGTCCGATCCCTACACCCAAATAAGGCCTGTAAGTAGAAGCCATATTAGCAGCCATTCTTGCCAATCCATATATTACGGCCACACGAAGTCTTCTTTCTTTCTCATATCTGAAAAATCACACATACAAATGCCACTGATTCTAATAAAAGAATGCAAAACAGATACTCGAATGTCGAGTTAAAGGGAAAAGCAAATGCATTTTATTTTAAAACTTCACATTTGGTATTTGGTTCTAAATGTAATTATTAGGTGTTTGGATTTAACAAGGAAAGGCGAATAAATGCAATTTTTCCATTAAAAAGAATGTAAGATGGATGAAACAAAATCAATCATAAGGCTACGGCACTAAAAAATAGAAATCGTTTGAATTTAAACTTCTTTATAAATTCTTTAATGTTTCATAAATTGCAAGTTTTAGGGGCTTTTTGGTAACGGCTTTAGCTGCTTTAGTAAATCTTATAAATCTGTATTTACTAAATCCTGAGATTTACAAAATTCTACCAACAGCAGGATTTAGTAAATCCAAAATTTAAGGCAAAATTGAGAAGAAAGCTAAGAAGAAACTGAATTTATAAAATCCAAAAATTAGAAGGACAGATTTTGCTGTCAGACAAAATTTAAGTTAAATCTCACTTGAATCCGTTACCAGACAGTGCAAGGCTGCCCAACTTGTAATACCGTTATGAGACGAAGAAACTTACTGTTCTAGGGAAGCTGTTATGTTCATGGGTTTTTTGCTCTTAATGCTTTCTTTCCATGCTTTCTCAAGCTCAAGGGCAAGCTGATAGCTATCCTAAAAGGATAACAAAAAGTTCAGCTAAAATGAACCTACATATAAACATAGGGTAGTTCTTAAATTAAGATATTTCATAGGAACTCCAAAGAAAAAAACAAAGTAAGAATCATACCTCAATAGCCATACAGCCACCCTGGCCCAAGTTTGGCTGCATTGCATGAACCGAATCCCCAAGCAATGTCGCACGCCCTCTTCCCCACGTGAAAATTGGGACGCGATCATAAATATCACGTCGGAGAATAGCTTCTTCGTCGGTCGCAATTAGTAAATCAATCACATTATCACACCATCCATAAAATATCTTGAGCAATGTTTCCTTTTTACCTAATAGGATGATCGTACATGATAAATTAGCATTCAAAGATTACAAGAAAGTGAACTCAATGGCCAATTTTACTTTGCTTTTGTTGATGAATTGTCTTTTAGGTACTTGGATATATTTAGCTCCATAATAAACAAAAAAATGTGTAATACTCTCAATGGCAAATTATACTTTGCTTCACATAAATGAATGGTTGCCATTTCAAAAACGTAGACCCCATTTGGGATCACTTTTGATTTTTTTTTTCTATTTATTATTATTATTATTATTATTTATTTTGAATTGAATGAAAGCATGTTTGGTTGTGGTAGTTACCTTTAAGAATACTAAAAATATTTTTTAGGTGTTTAGCGTGTTTTTAAAAATAAAATGATTTATTTAAAAAAATAAAATAAAAACATATAAAAGTCGTACTAATCAAATATGTTTTCAAGAATAATACTAAAAATAGAAAAAACAAAAGCGACACCAATCAAGCCCTTAAAATTTAGTCATAACCGATTAGGAGTGAACTACTTTTTTGGATGATATAAAGACATCTACAAGCTTGTTATTATGGCACTAAATAATAAGATAGTTGCTCACAAGATGGGTGCATCAAGAGCTGATGGAATCACAACGTTGGAATACTAACATTAATAGTGCAATAAAACATTAATAGTTTACTACTATTATTATGATATGTTACAAAATCATGTATATTAATAGTGCAATAAAAAACTAACATTAGATAATAAAAAGATTGTTAATTTGGAGCATAAAAATTTATTAATTAATGTGTACATATGTATATTTTATAGTTTCAACTTCAACATAACAAAGTTCATAGGATTTAAAAATTGGAAACTTACAAGTTACAACTAAATTATTTTATATATTTTTTAAATCCTTTATAATTATAACATATCAAATAACTTAAAGCTTATGCAAATTAGAGTGCAAACTTCACACATGAACTAAGAGGCAGCTTGGTATAACCTTTTTTGTTTTCAAATTTTTTAGTATTATATAAGTGTTTTTTATTATTTAATAAATAATAATAATTTATTTTTAAAAACAGTCAAAACAACTTTTACATGTTTGCTTTATTTACAAAGCAATCCCAGCTGCCTAACCTTGCACACCAGTCTGTCCAGCCACGCAACAATCACTAGCCACTCCAACTCCCATCACCATGTGAAACGTGTTGTCTATCTTTGCCTACTTCTATTTTTAAGAAATGGTTTGTTGGAATGAATAGTAACTTGAGATCCATAATTCCCCAATTTTTCTTAGCATAAGAGCACAATAAAGTTCATATTATTTGCAAAAGAAATTCTCTTTTTCATGAGACATGCCACACATCATATTAGTTTCTCTTAAGAATGACAAACCTTAAATCATATTAGTTTCCCTAAACAATGGCGGGATTCAAACCGCCTTGTATAGATCAATCTCGAAAGCTTTAATTCCGTTCAAAGACCACCCATTAAACAAACATTATTTAATTCAAATCAAAACATAAATAAAACAAAATAAAAATAAAACCAAAATGATCTCAAACGGCTCCCTAGTAACTGAAGATTAAATCAAAAAAATTTAAGAAAAAAAGCCTAAGAAACTAGGGAAAAAAAATCACTAGAGGGGTAATACCATTTGGGACATCAGAGCCACCAGGTGGTTCATTATGGAATGCATACCATTGCATTTTTCCAGCACCAACATCTAAAGAAACAAAATATTGCTTGTGACCAAGAAAAACACGGTACCTTCAACCAAAAACAAAAAAAAAATATAAAAATAAAAATAAAAAAAACATCCCTCAACTTTTAGACAACATTGTAAGCAGAAAAATTGTAATAAAACTTTCATACACTCTATAATAATTAATGCTCTCTTCAATTACTCTCCACTTATTGAAGACCCAAAATAGAAACAAATTTCTAAGAATTACATACAAACAAAAGAAAAAAAAAGCTCCAAGAGGGAATTATACCCAACAGTGTCTATATCAGGGGGCAAAAAATCTGCAATTCCAGTATAGCAAGTATATCCAGAGTACGATGCCTCGTTGTAGCCAAATAAGATCTCCCTCACCTGCTTGCATAGTGTATATAAATGTAAAAAAGAAAAGTTTAGGAGTTAGATATGTAAATACATAAGAATTGGTGGTATGTCTTAGTACCTTTGACCAAATACCATCTGCTCCAACAAGAAGATCACCTTCATACTGCTGACCATTTTCAAGAATCACAGTAACCTACGCTTGAAGGTCATAACATATTAGGCCTTCTAACAACATCATAAACATGACCACATCATTCCCCATGCAATCTCTCCACTAACATTGTACTTCGTAAATGTTAAAATTCAAAATAACAACATACAAATAAAAAAAAGACCGACGAATGGAAGCTCTTCTAACCTTGTTTCCATGGTCGACAAAATCTACAATTTTACTATCATTTAAAATATCGTCATCACCAACAGCACGGGCTAATATTTGCTGCAACGACATACGATTTATGATCCTCGTAACAGGAAGGCCGCGTTCAACGGCTGGAGTGAAAGTATCGAACTTGATATACCTGAATACCAGCAGGGTGTTAGGTTCTTTATGTGAATAACAATATATTCACCAAATAGCAACTTGTAAAGAAAAATGCATAGCATATACGAAACGTGATAGAAGTTCAAATGAAATGTTTTCTGAGCTTTATGAGTTGTTAGCATTAATGACCAATATTGTTTTTTGCACAAGCTCAAAGCATAAAGATGAACTAAGCTATTTTACACTACCTTGGTGTAAACTAAAATAACATTTTTATTGAAAAAAAAAATTTATGAAACCAATCTAATGTAGAAGTAGTTAGATTTGCATGGAACACCAGCTTTTTCAGTTGTTTGAACATGCTCCCTCATTGGATAAATAGCAGACAAGCTTTTAAAAGAAAGAAAGATTTACATGCATACCACTCAATTCCTATGTATTTACATATCTAACACCTAAACTTCAAATTTTATAAATATGCCATCTTACTTGTGCATAAAAAGGTGCATTTCACATTTTAAAAGTTAAAATGAAGGTATTTTTTATGTAATGTGGAAAATTTGGGTTGTATAAAAATAAAGCTAAGGTGTTAGATATGTAAAAACAAAGGAATTAGGTGCTAAGCAGGAAAATGCCCCTAAAAGAAATTAGAGACCATTTGATTCACGTAAACCATTTGCAAGAGGAATCTACTGTGTTAGACCCATGACGAACATAGAAGCAAATATTGTTAACTTTTCCTTCAACCAAGCATAGGAAAGACTTCGATATGAACCAAAAACCATTTATTCAAGTCAAAAAAGTTTATTAAACCATTTACAAGTCATAAGTTGTTCGAAAATGTCTCGTCATTGGGCCCCATGGATGAACCAGAACAAAAGGGTTTTAAGCCAACACAGTGACTTAGTAGGAGCCTCTTATACCTCCAAGTATCATTGGGCCAATGCTCTTGTCTTCGCATAAAGAATAAGAAGGGAAGAAATAAAGAAAAAAGCAAAAGTTCACAAGATAATGTTGTTGAGTTAATCACGAGTATGACAAATTGATGCAGTAAAACAGCTACTTCCGGTTATAAGCCTCAAGTCCTTTTCAATGTCAGCTTAGGTGGAATTATTTTAAGTTTGGTTTATTCCAGCATCGCCTTTTGTCATTTGGTATTTGTTAGGGGGTAAAAAATTATTCTCAGTGGGCATGCTTGTCATTTTTACTGACATTGAAATGTTATTCTCAGTGGATAACAATGATATTCTCAATTGGAATTGAATATAATTTTAGTAGTAGTAGATCTAATAGAGAGGTAACAATGGGTGATCAAGTCATTAAAGAGATCGAATAGTTTAGGTATCTCAAGTATATTGTTCAAAGTGATGGTGATATAGATGGGGATGTTATTAGTAGAATTCAAGTTGGATGGCTGAATTGGAGGAATGCATTAGGCATATTGTGTGAAAGAAAAGACATGCTAATACTCAAAGGAAAATTTTATAAGATTGTGGTGAGACCTACAATGTTTTATTGTTCAGAATATTGGCCTCTAAAAGAGAAGCATAAAACTTCACATGAAGGGGAGTGATGGATAACATGGTCTACTCTTATGAAAAGGAGATTGTTGAGGTTCACATGAAGTCTCAAGCTAAGTAGTCTTTCAACAAATATAAATGCATTTCCAGAAATGCTTTTCTCTCCTCCCTGCAAAGCAATAATGCAAAAAGAAATTGCACGTGAGCTAAAATCCCAAAACAACGCAAATTAAAATAATAGAGCCAAGCTAGTTGTTGCTATTTTGTGCAAATCAAATGAATGAAACAAATTATTCTATTTAGAAGACTGAAATGGAAGATTTGCATGAGCCAATAAAGGGAGATGATGCCAAGTTAAGACTGAAAAAGCATAGTAGGTGAAGCACATCAAGTGAGTTAGTCCAATCAAAAAATGGATTAGCAATAGCGTTTTCCATCATAGTGAAAAAGACGCTAATTTTCATATTCTTTGGACACCTTGGAAGTACATGCAAGAAAGCTGGTTAATTTCAAATATAAATAAAGAAAATCTATGATCCACCATATTTCTATATTTTTTACATGATAAACCAGATGAAAAGGGTGAACAAAGTTTTTATGAAGAGATGCAATCATTTATTATGTTGAACTCGTTACCATACACTTAGAAGACATCAGTTGCAATCTGAGCAACTCTGTACTAATGGTTTTTTCACCTAAGATGTGGACAAGCATAGCATCCACAAAAAAGAAACCAAAAAAGAAAGAATAGATTATCTGTAGCCAATCTGAAAAGATATAAGCTCAAAAACTTTGCTAAACATGCATCATGGCACTGCAATGACCAGAAACAGTAAACAAGAGAGATATGAAGGGGATTATACCAGGTACCAGAAATGCCGTCCACAAGACCATTTATCCTATCTCCAGTTATACATCCTGTCTGCATAATTTCATCGGCGACCTGCAAGTCTATAGCCTCGAGCGCGGCAAGTGCGTTGCTCTGAATCTGAATCGGCCCCCT